GTGGCTGAACACTAGAAGTGTTCTGAGATTAGGAATACCACCGCCGCTGCAACAAGGGGTTTCTAACGGCATTAGGAAAGGAGCTGTTGGAGGCGGTCTAACCAGAGCGGCGAATAGGAGAGAGAGAGGGATGGAACCCATTGGGATCCCGAGTTTGCTGTCTTTGTGACTGAACACTAGAAGTGTTTTGAGTTTAGGAATACAGCCACCACTACAACAGGGTTTCTAATGGCGAGAGGAAAGGGGCTATCCGTGGCGGTCTAACCGGAGCAGCGGACAAAAGAGAGAGAGAGAGAGTGGGAGAAGAGATTGTAGTGAGGGAGGAGTTGCAGTGTTGGGGTGGTCATTGCAAGACGAAGAGGTTCAACAATGTTGTAGTGGTCACTAGCATTCAAAACTTCAGATAGCTTTAGCAAGACGAAGTGCACGGTGAAACCCCTCCTCCTTTCAGCATGAGTTGATTCTCATGTGCTGATACTCTGTCTGAACCCAACAGAAAAAAAGAAGGGGAGAGAGAGAGGGGGGAGGGAGGTGGAGGGTAAAATTGGGTTAAAAAAATATATATCACTTGCGAATAAGTTTTGATGGAATATTAATGGACTTATTAATTTTTTTAGTAATTATGAATTTCAATAATTAATTTTCAAACACATGGGTGTTTTTTTTGGGGGGTGGGGGGAGGGGAGGGGAAGGCAAAGTGTTAGGTTAAATCCGTTCCAAATATGTCATGTGAGGTTGGTTTGGAGAGATCTGAGTAGTAGTTTCCTCAAATCATCCCCCCGAAATAAAAACCGTTGAAGCTCACCTAGCATGGTGGCTAAACAATAAATAATACAATAGAAGTGAAAGCGATTGATTGCTGACGATCAAGACGTGGATAACTTTGGGAGGCGTGAACCTTGGGCGCATCACCCCACCACTTAAAAATTAAAATCTTCCATCTAAGTAGATATCTACTAGATGACGTGGATTTAGAGTGAAGAAATAAAATTATAGAAGAGAAAATTATCAAATTTCAAATTTGGCATCTTGGTATGCATCTGCAATTTTGTTTTAGGCTTCTAGCATAATCAACAACGCAACAAATACTCTTACCAGAAATACGTCTGGTATAAACTATAAAATGTTGTAATTCTAAAACGTAATTTTTTTTCCGTTTTAAAATGTCAATGAATTTAGGGCCCCTTCGGTTAAATCAAAGTTCACTGAAATGGATTCTCATTCCTAAGGGAGAGGGAGGGAATGCCATTCCACCGATAATGGGAATGAGATTCCTATTAATCAATCAAACAGTTAGAATCGAAATGGATCATTCCGATTCTGGACTCCTATTGCTGTGAACCAAACACTCTTATTTAGTTGCAAATCAAAACAAAGCACAATTTCAAGAAAAGGAGAAGGAAAGAGCCGGACAAACAGCGGCCTGGGCAACCTTTTTGCAGTGCCAATAGATTAAGGGCCCATTTGGTTCTCAATAATAAGGGCATGGAATTGAAATCACAATGGCCCATCCAATTCCAACTATTTGGTTAAACGGAATTGAAACCCCATTTCCATTTTTGGTGGAATGATATTCCCATATTTGAAACTAGGAGAGAATGACCATTTCCTTCCCCTCAATTGGGAGTGGAATCCCATTCAATGCGGTTCCATTTCTCATTTCAATTTCTGTAGTAAAAAATACCATAAGAATAGACCATTCCAAATGCAATATAGATGAATTTTGATTTCAATTCGGAATGTAAACCAAATGATTCTAAATTGGTTGAACATAATGCTAAACAGTGTATTTTACCACAATGAGAAATAAACTGATTTTAACTACATTAATTGACATATGAGTTTAAGGGTAAATTGCTGAAACCTCCCCTTAAGTTCGGGGACCATACTAATTGAAAATTTGCCCTTTAATTATAACATTTTTCGTAGTGAAGGGCTGAGGTGGATTTTATAGCTAATTATTTCAACATAAAAAAAAAACCAACGCAACGCAGACAAACTAACGCCACGGTACAGAAAGAAGTCCGGATCTACTACACTTCTTTTAGGCTAGCTTCTTACAGCGGGCACGGAACTTCAATACCATCATCGTCATTCGTCGTCAACGACTTAAACACGTTAAAAGCCAGTCTAACCAACTCGACCCATCTCGTTTAGCTTGTAGAGAGAGAGAGAGAGAGATCAGAGATGGGCAGTGGCGCAAAGGGAAGGACGGTAATGGAGGTTGGAACTGACGGGGTGGCCCTGATCACCATTATCAACCCACCTGTCAATTCCCTCTCCACGGATGGTAATTTTCTGCAATTCCTAAATATACATATTTTGCCTTCGTTAAGATTTCCCTCTGCTCCCTTTTACCGTGTTTATCCTTTTCTATTTTTATATGTGATTTTCAGTTCTATACAGCATATTTTGGTTTTAATTTCTATTTATATACTTTTTAATTTGTTTTTGGGGTGTGCTTTCTGCGTGTTCATTTGCACTGAAATGTGCTGCGTTTTGCTTTTATTCCCTTCTTTATGCTGCTCAGTTTTCATAATTTTATTCTTCAGGAGAAATTAATCTATGCCTTAAATAATTGAAATACCACAACACGAAACCATAATTGTCTTATTACTCGTTTGTTTTTTTTTTCCTGGTTACGTTTTAATGCGTTCACCTATTATATTAATCTGGATGACTTTTGGGATATGCAGTATTAGAAACAACATAGGATTGCCGAGAATAGATTGCAATTAGCATGGCATATACATGATAAATTAGGAACTTTGTATCTTAATGTTCTCTTCATCGGTCGTTTAATCTTCATTTTATTTGTTGAGATGGTATGCGCTAGTTGAGCATTATCAAGGCCGTCAATCTTATTTTCACATTTTCTGCTTAGATGGTGTGCACTTGTTGAGTGGACACATTTTACTTAGTCCTGTGGTTAAGGTTCCTCCCAAGCATAGAAGCACACATGATTCTCCAAAAAAAAAAAAAAGAAAGGCCCAGCAAAGGGCGTTGATGAATGATGATTCCATGTGTAGCAAAACATTGTCATTCTAAGCTCACAACTTACTTCTGGGCCACCGATACCATCCTTAAGAAAATAATTTGGTGAAAAAAGAAATAGTAAACCATTATTTAGTATCAATAAAAACATGATTAATATCATTCAAGGAACTTCTGAGTAGTAGGCAGCAATTGACATGGATATGTCTGGTGAGACAATAGCAGACAGGAGCATCATATAGACTACACCACAAATTTTGCACATCTACTGGGATACTGATAAGTAATTGTAATCGATGAAGAAGAAGCTTAGGTAAATTTAATCCTTTTGGAGGAAAAATCCAAAGTATCAATACATATTGTTGTGTGTTGTACCACGATAGGTATCATTTTTTGAATCCACCAATGTGCTAAATATCAACAAATGGGTGATTTCAACCATTTCAAACTGTAATAGATGATGTGACATCACTATTGACAAATTATCATCCAAAAAAGACAAAAAAATGCAAAGAATTTCCATGGGATTAAAGTATTGATACTTCGAACCTTGTTGGAGGTAATGGAATGCTTTAAGACTTGGGAATGTACTGCTAAACATTGGCTTAATTTTCTGCTGCGTCAAATATCAATGATACCAAGACGTTATTTGAATATTATTTTTGATCATCAACACTAATGAATTTTGTTAATGTGAAAGGAACCCTACACCCAAAAGAGTTGGTCATAGGATGCAAAGAGAATAGCAAAGGTTTACAATAAACTATTTATGAATTTGATACCATGAAGTGTATGAAAAACTTTTAGGCATATGAACAGCAGAACATTGTACATCTGACACAGGCAAAATCTGCATTTGCACCTGATTGTTTCATCGTTCAGGATCATTATTATTCTGGTAGACTGGAACCAGAATGACATTAGGGGCACTAGGATTAGGAGTACCAATACAAGCAGTTGGATTTACAGGTTTCCTATGGTAATCAGGATTCAGAACTAGCTTTTCATTCCACCCTGAATGATCCCAATAGCTAGGGCTTGGGTAACATTCAAATACCTAGAAAATCACCTCAGGGCTGTAGGATAAGAGTCCAAGAGAAGCAGAATTTCATTCAGTATATGCAACAATCTCCAGAGGATAATTCCAAAACATACATATCTTGCAGGGCTGTCTCTGTGGTTGCAGCCTTACTCTCAACAAGTAATAAGGAAGTCCAAGTCCTCTCATATCAAATTACCATCGTTGGTAACAATACGAAGAAACTCCCATCCCATGAAAAGACTTGTATATAAGCAATGAAGTTTTATTCTTATCCTTATAGGAAGTATTTTTCAAATAAAGTATCTCATATTTTGAAACCAGAAATCTGAACTTAATTAAGCCTATTATTTGTACTGAGTTATTTAGAAATCTAATTAATATTAATCAGGTTGTAGCATTAAGAACAAAATTTTTAGGCTTTCTTGTACCCTGTTGGCAATTCTGGTGGAATAGGCTCTTAAGGTTGATTTAATTTTGTGGTTAAAGCCACAAGAGAAGTGTCATAGGAGTACAAGGTTTGATTGATTACTGATTTTCGGGTTGCAATTAAATTTCAAAGGAGAAAAAAACCCAAGGTTGAGTATAATTGTCCTGCTATAACTTCTAAATGAGCTGAGAAACTTGCTGAAAGTAAGGCTCCATCAACATGATTGTTCCTGTTTCTCAATTTCAACTCTTAATTTAATTAATATTTTTTGGCATATACATCTCCTTTTTTTGCTTCTCTGGTTTTCAATTTCTAATTTCATTTGTGTAATTCATCTGATAATGTTATACCTCCAAACCTCACATTTGAATGTTTAGGTAGATGTTTCATTTTAGAAGTGCCAATAATTTATGACTTCTCATTTACTCCTTTCTTTCTCATCTATTTTGATTTACATGGTTTGATATTTTTCTCCAGTACTGTTCAGTCTGAAAGAGCACTATGATCAAGCACTGCAAAGGGATGATGTTAAAGCAATTATTATTACAGGTAAATGTGATATATATGGTCAATGGATATCTCTTATAGTGTTTGAGGTGATTGACAAAGGTATGCCACTCATGACATGCATAAACTAAGCAGGTTCAAAAGGCAAATTTTCTGGAGGCTTTGATATCTCAGCTTTTGTTTCACATCAGGCTGGCAAGAGTATGTTTACTGTTATATATATATTATAACATATTACTGTATTACCAATATTCCATTTTTGTGGTTTGTTACTAATAATCCATTTTTCTGACTTGCAGTTAAGGAGTCAACACCCGGTCTTGTATCAATAGAATTTATTTCTGACATTTTAGAAGGTGCCTATTTTGGGCTTCATTGTTTTCCTCTATATTGTAATGGTTATCTACTAATGTTGGACAAGATTTCTATTAAACATTTCCATGGTTACTTTTTCTTTGTCAGGAGCAAAAAAACCTTCTGTAGCTGCTATTGATGGTCTTGCCTTGGGTGGTGGACTAGAGGTTGCAATGGTTTGTGCTGGCAGTGCTGCAACCCTACAGTTTGTTTCAGAGAGCTGTCATACACATTATTTGACATGGCTATTCTTTCCTTGACAGGCCTGCCATGCCCGCATCTCTACTGCCACTGCACAGCTAGGCTTGCCTGAACTTCAGCTTGGAATCATTCCTGGTTTTGGAGGTATGGTTGTTAGTCTGTGTTTATACAGTATTAACAATTAGATGACGGTGTGAAGCAGGATAGTTTATCTTTTGCAACATGAAAATTCAGTGAAGATGAAATAGATTTTTGGTTTAGCACACCAATTTTTCTATGCACTCCCTATTGTCTTAGATTGTAAACTGTAAGATTTAGTGGATGACCCAAACACGGCATGCGATAGAGAGAAGTAAATGGGCTAAAAAAGGTCTAGTCCTAAGACCATGGGCTCACAGTCCATCATTCCAGCAGTAGTTGGCCAGCTTAAATGGGGCTCATGAAAAATTCTCTCAATCAAAGATTTGATTTAATATCATATCAATCAAGGATTTAATAGAGACTGAGAAAGTATTTCAGATTTATATGGATTTCAATTTCTTTCCTTTCTTTGCAAGTATTTCCTTTTTAGGAAGATAGTTATATTGTAAATATCAAAAAGATTAGATGCTCATCTTGCTGTTGCTCCTCAATGGAACCATTGTCAGCACACTTAATAAAACTAAACTTTGATGGATGCAGTAGTGGAAATTAGAGCCAATTGGGAATGGGAGCATTGTTCAGAAATTGTAATGAGGAATCTTAGCATTGTTTTCCAGATGAATTGACTTCCATATTCAGGAGGAGGTCCCATATTGCATGTTGTTTGCTGATGACATCATTTTAGTTGATGAAACTAATGAAGGATTAAATACAAAACTAAGCTTATGGGCCAACGTCTTAGAATATAGGACTAGAACAAAATGTATGGCAAGTAAATTTAATAATAATGGAAAATCAGGGTGCAATTAGGATTGTGTTGAGTTGGTCTGAGTTGTTTTTTATTTAGTTAGGAAGTTGTTGGGCTTTAGGCCCATTAGTTTATGTTTCTTTTTAAGTTGTGACTGTTCAGCTATATTAGTAGCYGYCCTACTAARGGCATCCTTRTAATATCTCATCCTTTAAGTTAAGTATAAATATAATGAGAGGTAGGCGGCTAGGGTTAATTTTACAATCCTGGTTGGCTTCCTACTCTTTTCTTCTTCTCCTTT